TGCAAAATAAGACTTTCCCCATTTGACAAGACCAAGTCCAAAACGCCCCCAAAATGTTAAAACTTTTTGAACCAGAAGGCAATGCTACAAGGTGCAAAATTTCACAGCTGATCTCACGGGAGAGGTCGGTCTACAGGCAGGAGCTCTAAAAACCTTACATGAAGACTCCTTCAGGCTGTACGTGCGGGGACAAGGTAGCCAGTTTGCCTTCACCCACGGGAGCATCATGGTGGACGGTGTGGGGAGGAGAGACGCTCCCATCATGGTGGCCGGGAAGCAGGGAGAGAAGGGAGCAGCTGGCCTCAGTGACAGAGATGTCCCTGTGCATCACTGACTGACAGATGACTGACTCTACGACACCCGTGATCCAATCAGCTTTAGAAAGTGTCAGTCTACAAACCTTGGAAGCAGGTTAACTTGGGTCAGGCTCGCCTGAACCCAGCGTCGGTGTCTTTGACAGGGACGGAAGTGGACACACGGGCGGCTTCTGCGGAAGCTTCCAGATCAAAAGCAAACCAGTTTTCTACCATGTTAGGGCCCAAATGTAGCAGACCACGTTACACCTCACACACCAAGTAAGTCTGAAGACGGCGCTGCGGGGGAACCGAGCCCTGAGCCCCCAGGCCTGGGTCTGTGCTAGAGGTGGACACGCACGCGCTCGGGAACTCGGCTGTGGGGCGCAGGGGGACCGGGGTCCCCGGTCCAGGGCAGTGGTGCTGGCCACGCCGTCTCGGAGCTGGACTTTGCTGCATGACACGCATCGGCGTCTGCATCGCGGAGCGTCCTGGTTACACCCGGGAAGGGTTCAGGGGAACGAGGGTCCCCGGGCTCGCGTCTGGGGACCCCGTGCAGGGGAATTAGTGGAGAATCTGCTGCAGACGTGTTGGGGAGTGGGGGCCCCGAGTCCAGCAACTGTGTCCTCCCGAGAGACGGAAGAGGAGACGGGACCCAGGGGAGGCCGGATGGGGAGACTGAGGCACAACCGGGGTGCTGGCCGGGGCGCAGGGTGCCCAGAGCTCGGGGAGGCCGAGGCAGGAGCGTCCCCCGTGTGTCCTCTAGAGGAAGCGAGGCCCTGGGATGCCCAGATTGGCTGCCGGGCATACAGACACCCCGGGGTCCATCTCAGCAGGTCACCGGACAGACCTCAGCCTGCCCAGAACTCAGGAACACAGACCCTGGCAGTTAAAATATGCTGACACCAAGGTCCTGTGATCGCTACCGTTCGGTTATTCGGTCTATTAATGGGAACACACTACATGGACTCCAGGGGTGTCACGGGGAGACCTGGGGTGTCCCCGGAGCCCTGGTGCTCAGTGCGGGGTTCTGGACGGTGACGGGGTGCATTGCGGGGAGGAAGGGCAGCCTGGCTGACCGGGAAGGCCGGGACCTCGTGACGTGAGCATCTCTCCTCCGCCTCGTTACTTGGCCCGGGATGCAGTGCACACTGCGGGGACCCACGCAGCCCTCGGGGTCCCCGAGGCCCACGGATGGTCCAGGACAGCCGCTGCACCCCGACCCCGGGAGGCTCCAGGAGCCGTCACCCACCTGCCCTGCAGGTCCTCCAGGTTGAGCCGGGCCACGTAGTGCGTGGCGGAGGACACGGTGACCACCCGGGAGCCGCGCCCCGGGGCCGCGGCCTGGCGCAGGCTGTCCAGGAGGAGGTTGGTGAGCAGGAAATGTCCCAAGTAGTTCAGGCCGAAGTGCTCCTCGAAGCCGTCCTCGGTCTCCCGCTGAGGCACCATCATGACGCCCGCTGTGGGGAAGACGTCCAGGACCGTTAGACGGGGGACATGGCCGGCCCCGGGCGGGGGACACACAGGACAGGGGGGCCCTCGCCCCGGCGGGCCCCGATTCTTTACCCCGGGCAGGGTCTGCTGGCCCCGGACTCAGGGAGACCCTCCCGCCTCGGCCTCCCGGTGCTGGACGCCGCTGCCCACAGCCACAGACTCGGCCCGACCCGAGCACTCAACACCCGCAAACAGGATGCAGACCGAGAGGCGGGAATCTGAGCCAAGCTGGGCTCCACCGAGAAATCGGAGCCCCCGAGGCCGGCCGGGGTGCAGGGAACAGAGCAAACTGCACTGCCAGAGGGAGGAACAGCACGCAACCCCGGGAAGATCTGCACTGGGAACCTCCTCGGAACCAGCACGTCCTCTCCTCGGGCTCCTCCCTGAAGACAGAGGACGTCACGCTGCAGCGGGCCACACACGCCCACGTGCAGAGCGGCGTAAGTGATGTCACGGCATCTCGGAAGCAGCCGGAATGTCCATCGGCAGATAAGCAGACGGAGGAGGAAAGTGGTTTATCTGCGGTGGAGTACTATGCAGCCACGAAGAAGGGGCGGTGGGGTCGTTTGTAGGGACACAGATGCCCAGTGAGAAAGAGACAGAATCAGACAGAGACAGAGAGACTCAGAGAGATAGAGATGGAGAGAGACAGGATGAGGTCCCCAGACGGCCACATCCCATCCCCACAGGGAAATACAACATTGTTCCCAAGCGCGGCCACCCCAGGACGCTCGAGAGCCTCTTGGTGCAGACAGACGAACAGACAGCCCCGCCCTGGAGAGACGGCACCGGGGAAGACCCGTGCGGAGGAGGGGACATGGGGTGCCCCCCTCGCAGCCCAGCACCCGGGAAGCTGAGGCAGGAGGGCCGCTCTGCGCCGTACAAGACCCCATCTCTACACGGCGGACCCGAAGGCCGCGGCAGGGTCCCCCCGGCCCTATCAAAGCCCACTCGGTTCCTCTGGGCACGCAGGGTCCGGCATTCCACCCGGTCATTAACCCCCCAGGACGGAACGCGGCTGTCGGGGACCAGAATGGCCACCAGGGCGGCCGTCCGAGGTCGTGCTGTGCGGTGCCCTGTGCCTGGCACTGCTCTGTCCTGTTCCGCTTTATTTTCTTTAAAATAAAATAATTTTTAAAAAAAACAGCGATGCAGAATGACCAGCGGCTTTGGAGCTGAGGGGGGCCCCATTCCCGGGGTGACCCCAAGTCCTCTCCCCGGACCTCCAGGACCCTCAGTGACCCTCAGCAGCCCGGCAGCTCCCGGCTGGCTCGCGGTGACCCCCAGAACCCAGACTGCGGCCCTGCAGTGGCGTGCATCGCTGGGCTCCGGAACCCGCAGCGGCAGGCTGTTAACTCCGGGCCGCGAAGGCCGGCACCCCGTTTCGGGCTCGGGGAGCACTCACCGTTGTTGACGAGCACGTGGAGGGGGAGCCCCTTGCTCTTGAACTTCTGCACGAACTGCCGGATGCACCTCATGGACGCCAGATCGCAGTGTAAGAATTCAACTGCAAAGACAGAAACGTGCCCGGCTGGGACCCGACCGGCCACTCTGGGCCGCGCGGTCAGCAGGCCAGCGTCCGCCCCGTTAGGACACTGACTGGACCTGCTGGCCCTTCAGGGGAACCGCGGCTTCTAAGTGTTGTTAGAAGCTCCCGAGGCTTGCGGATCACACAGCACGCAACGGGACGCTGCTGACGCACTCAGACCCAAGAAGGATAATAAACTGACTCCACGTTTTAAGGCCACGTCGCTTCGTAAGGAACGGCTTTGTGTACCTCTATCTCACCACCCGGGCACTCGGCCATCTCGCTGTGGCCCCGGAAATGCAAATTTCACTAAAGCTTCGGAAGAGCTTTCCTGTGTCCCTGCAAAAAAACACGATCTTCGGGCTCACAGAGGTGCCTGTCTGGTTACCTGCCGTCTGCACCCTCCTCAGATCGTCTATAAGCAGAACATTCACTTATTACAATGCCCGACCTTCTCTGTCCTTGGCGTTCACCTTTTTTATGACCCAGTGACACGCCAGCAGTATTATCTGAATCTGGGCAGCAGCACTGAGGGCTTGAACTTAAACACAGATGCCCATGTTCCCATGTGGCTCTGTTGAGGAACCGTGTGTATCGGCTAGCACTGCTGCATAACAAGCGTTCCCGAATTCACCGGCTTGCCACAATCTCCACGTGGGATCTGGCTTGTCTATAAGTTAGAGGTCAGGTGGCTGACCACCGTCTCTGTCCCACATGACGGCTAATTCCCGGGAAGGTAAATGCACCATCCGGCCAGGCGCTGAATGACGCACAGATTCCTTGCAGCTCGGGCGCTGAGCGAGCTCCCCAGAGCTCCGGGCACCCTGTGGCCCGCCACGGCTCCCACGGCCACCGCCACGGACAGCCCGTTCATTCTGAGTGGGTTTAATACATTCGTGTGTCCGCTCACAGCCGCCCACCCCGGGCCACCGAATCCATCCATGAAATCGTCGGTCACGTCCTCGCCCAGCAGTGGCCGGGTCGGCCCAGGCGGCCAGCGCCAGCCATCATGACCTGAAACCCTCGGCTAGGAACTGCGCGGCGGACATTAAAAGCCCCTGTGGGATTCCGTGGCAGTAAAAGCCACTGTGGGATTCCGTGGCAGGTTCGCCCAGGAGCGTTCAGCGATGCAGTCAGCAAACACCCGTGTTGATCTTTTCCATCGTGGTCTTAGCGTTTTGTGAGTTTGAGTCCGCCCGAGCGGCTGAGCACAAAATCCGTGCCCGAGCTGTGCCCAAGCTGCCCGTGCCGCCCCGCCGTGGACCCTGCACCTCATCCCAGCTCGGGGTGGTGCAGGAGGGCGCCCCGCAGCGCCCGGCTCTGCCCAGACCCGCAGGTGCCCGCCGTGCCCGCGTCTACAAGCAAACGCCTCCAGCAAAGAAAGTGAACCGAATCGGGGTCAGCACGGCTGCTGGACCCGCAGCCCTGACCACCAGCCACGGAGGGCCACGCGTGGATCCACGTGGCGGATTGCATATGGCGGCCCAGAGGGAGGCTGGGGGGGCTCCAGGGACGGGGTCCCGGCAGGCGGGCGGGAGCTGGAGTCCCCACAGTGCCGTCCGAGGACGTCGGCCACCATGTTGGTGTCCGCCCCCCTCTGCCATCTGTACCCCTGAGGCACGCTGGGGTCCCCCAGAACCGAGCGCCATCCGGGCGGATGCCAGAGCTGCACCTCAGAGGTCCTGGGCACCACGGGTGGAGGCCACGGGACCTGCTGAGCCCTGCCACCACCAGGAGGAGGAGATGGAGGAGGAGGAGCAGCAGGAGGCCTCGTCCTGCTGCTGCTGCAGGAGCGGGTATCCCAGCCCTGCCTGGTGCCCTCGCGTCTGCCCCAGGACCTTTGCAGCATCCGCCTCCACGAGGCCAGCCCCGCCCAGCCAGGCCCTTCCCGGCAGCTGCCAGGTCTCATCCTCGGCCGCTTTCCCTGCGAGCAGGCCGGGCGGCGGCAGCAGCAGGAGAGGAGCACAGTCCCCAGGGAGGTCACCGTGTTCTTGCCAAAGGAGGCGGACAGAATAACAATCAGTGGAGGGAGGAGGGAAGGGAGGAAGGGGAGGCCTCGGTGACAGGCGGCAGGAGGGGAGAGACGTCCGGAGCAGCTGCGCTGCGGTGACATCCCCGGCTCCCTCCGTCGGGCACTGATGGGCAGACACAGGCTGGGCCAAGCCTGAGCTGGTGGACGGAGCATGTGTAAAGGTCCTGAGGCACAGAGAGACAGGCCCTGATGTGGACGACCGCAGGCCCTCCCGGGAACCCCGGGACCCAGGCTCGGCGTCCGGTGGACACTAAGTCCCCTCGTCGTGGCTCACAAGCCCAAGCTCGGTGCAGCCCTTAGCAACACAGTTCTAGCATCCACGGAAACTCGACTCCAGCCCGCCCGGCTCTTCCCGAGCCGGGTGTCGCTCTCCAAGCCCGTGATCCTCGCACGCCCGTGTGAGCGGCAGCACGGCTCAGACACCAGCCGTCGGGAGCAGAACACAGACGGCTGGCTCGGACCGCGTGGGCACCAGGGCGCAGCACAGCACAGGCGGGCACCACCGAGGCCCGGCCGGCCACGAGGTGTTCAGGGACCCCCGAGGCTCCCCAGGGGGCGGCCCCACACGACCTTTAGCCCTTTTTAGGTGCAGCTCGCCTCCCGAGCTCCGCAGCCGGGTCCTCTCGGGCTGGGTCCTCCGAGTGGGGCTGACCGTGTGTGTGGACACAAACCTCCACTTCTGGGTTGGCACCAAAACCGTGTGGGCCAGAGAGTGTGAACCTAACCACACGCGAAAGAGACACAGATGCCCTGCAGTGGCCCACGGGCCCAGAGTGACAGAGATACCATCAATCGTCACACAGGACACTCCCGGGGCTCAAAAGTCACTGGCCAAGAAGCCCGGGCCAGTATTAGAGCCTTCTCGGGCACGCGTACTTATGTATGCAGTGGAGTACTACTCAGCCATGAACAAGGCTAAGCGCCAGTCACCTGAAGAAACACGGAGGCCCCCCCAGACCACGAGGCTAAGCGCAGTACAGGTGGGGGGGTCTGCACGAGGCCCCTCTGAAGGATTCTGATTTGTCCTCCATCGCTGGGCCCCGATCCCTGAGAGAAACCACTGAGAGGAGCAGTGTTTTATCGGGGTCCTGGCAGCACCCCCATCTTAGGTATCTAGCTTCCAAAATTGTCAATCAACTTTCAGTCCAGAGTCAGCCGGCCGCAGGGCACCTGGACCTGACACGGGCTGGGGAAGTGGACGCCATCACAGGGGCCCGTCCTCCCACCGGGTCCCGCCTCCCGCGTTTCCGTCAGCTCCCAAAATGCCAGCAAATTTCCAGCCCCTCTGTGCATGGAGTCGGGGTCCTCGCGAGTCAATCAACAACCCTCAAAGTCCCCCCACGGACAGCCACCCTCCCCGAAGGCCTGCAGAGACTGCACAGCCCGACCATCAGGACCCGGGTGGATGCAAATTCAGGTCTTTAAAGGAGGCCGCACGAGTCTGCGTTCTGTGGCTGTGATGAAGCACCCAGGGCCGGGCGTTCAGGAAGCAATGGGGCGATCGGGTCGCCATTGTGGAGTCGGTCAGCTGTGCGTGGCTGGGACAGCGTGGGTGACTCTCCTGTCGCCCACAAAGAGCCCCGAAACCCTGCGTCAGCGCCGACTGATCCCCCGGGCCCCGTCCACGGCTGTCCTGCCATCTGCGTGTCCTGACGCAGCCCCTCCCGCTCGGCCCCCGCCACCCTGCAGCCCGGTCTCCCAGGACACCCCGGTCCTGCACATTCAGCAGCCGGCCCGGGGACGAGGCTATTTCCAGCTCCCGGGCAGGAGGCTGACCACGTACCCGGCGGTGCCCAGCGGGCCCATCTGGCTGGCTCCTGTTTGTCTTCGGGTACAGCCTGGTTTTTTGTCAACTGCCGGAGAATTAAAAATAGCCAGTCAATGAACCTCCCAGCTGAGGAGCACATGAGCTGTCAGCCGCTCCCCGCCGAGCCCCTGAAATCAGATGCCCGAATCAGCTGGACGCGGAGCAGCTGGCCGGGTGCAGCGTCCCCCAGGCGGCGTTTATGGGACTCGCACAGCGACACACGAAAACACTGAGCTCGGCCCGGGCTCGGGTCCCACAGGCTGGGTTCCTCCGAGCTGCAAGCAAAAATTCACAGTGGACGCTGCCCCGTCCCTCCTGCCACAAAGCTCCCCGCGGGTCCCACCAGACGGAGACTTCACCCCGGACACGCTCAAGGGCACCGCGGTGCGATCAGGAGGGGACCCCAGCTCAGGACTGCACCTCTCGGGACGCTGAGCTCAGAGGAACGTGCACCCTCGTGTGCCATCCTGGCCGAGGTCGGGGTCTGCTGGGGGAGGACGGTCTTCAGGGAGGACCGGGAAGGTGTCCAAGTCCTGGCACAGACCCCCCGGCTTTCAGGTGCCCGCGGCGGCCCTGGAGGGGAAGCCGAGGACAGGGAGGGCCGGAGCACACACAGCAGGCGAAGACGCGGTTTCCTTAGTAGGTCCCCACGGCAGGAGCCACGGGCCTGCGGGAAAAGCCGCTTCCTCTTCCAGGAATGCAGAAGCCAGATAAGGCTGCGTAAGAAGCGAGCCCGGAGTTTAGGTTCCTCCTCGGGGCGGACGCCTGAGCGATTACTGTGTAATAGCCAGATAATTAGGGGAGATACGGGGGAGCACGGTGACAGCTAAATCCTGCACACACACACACGCGGGCACAGGGAACCCGGGCTATCGTTCACATAGGACAAAAAATACAAAACTGAAGGGCGTTTTGGAAGAATTTCATTTTAATGAGAACTTGGCGGCCGTCCTGCAGGCCGAGGTCCAGGTGCAGGTCCAGGTGCAGGTCCAGGCGCAGGTCCAGGTCCAGGTGCAGGTCCAGGTGCAGGTCCAGGTGCAGGTCCAGGTCCAGGTGCAGGTGCAGGGTGCAGGTCCAGGTCCAGGTGCAGGTCCAGGTGCAGGTCCAGGTGCAGGTGCAGATGCAGGTCCAGGTGCAGGTCCAGGTGCAGGTCTAGGTGCAGGTGCAGGTCCAGGTGCAGGTCCAGGTCCAGGTGCAGGTGCAGGGTGCAGACCTGAGTCTGGGCGGCTGCTCCCCGGTCACAGATGGCACCTGCACTGTGCCCTGCCTGGTCCCTGTGACGGGGACTCTGGTGCTGTGCAGGGCTGTGTGACGACCGTCCCATGAACCCCAGTACGAACTCGGGTCACAGGGCGCAGTCGGAACCGTGCACCCGGCTCCTGTTTGCTCTCTGAGTGGACACAGGCTGACCGCCTCCTGTAGAAGCCGCTGCCCTTTGGACCTTAAAGGGTCCCCCAAATGACCACGCGCTGCAGCCTTGATGCTCGGGGAGCCACCGTGACGACTCGGCGGGGCTCCCTGAGGGGGTCCTCTGGGGGTTCTGGAGGGCATCAGGGTGCTCTTCAGGCCTTTGGGGGTCCCCGGGGTTACTGGGGAGTCTGAGGGTCTCTAGGGAGGTCCCCGTGTTTTGGGGGAGTCTGAGGGTGTCTGGGCAGGGCTGGAGGTCATTGGGTCCTTGAGTGGATTCTGAGTCCATGGTGATTTCCGTGCCTCTCTGTGTCTGTCTGTCCCTGTGTCGCTCAAGACCCATGGAGAACGGGATGCGGTCAACAAACCCAGGAGACAGAACGGATCTCCGCCCCGGTTTATTCCCCGGGCCGTTTCTTGGGAGTTCAGATCTGCCTGACCGGAAGCCGGGAGCTGAGCTCTGAGCACACGGCAGGAGCCCGCAGACCTCGCCCCGCCCGGCTCTTCCCCGGGCCCAGGTGCAGCGGGCTGGACGCTGGCCGCTGACCGGAACCTGGGCGGCGGGTCGTCCTCGGGAGCCGGGTCTTGGCGGGATGGGAGGGTGCAATGGCGTCCCCTGGGTTCGAGCGGGCTCCTACTCCGGAGCTAACGGGGAGTCCGCGTCAGAAACCAGGAGGGGAGAGATGGGGTTCCCGGTAGGAGGGCGTAAGTGTCGGGGTGCGCGGGGTGCACAGTTACGGCGTCCTCTACGCGTGTGCAGAAATACATCGGACGCCACAGAGCCGAACCCAATAAATGATGCACAGGCAGTGAGGCCAGGCCACCGTGCAAAAGCCTGGGCCAGCGACTCAGGGCGTGAAGCAACAGCACCTCACGGCAGCAGGGCACACGTGACAGGGTGGAACCGAGCCCGAAGGACCTGGACTCGTCCCTGAGAGTCACAGCGGTGTCCGTGGGTGACGGGGAGCCCACTCGGAAGGGAACAGCTGTCTGGCAGAATGGAAGGTACGCGGGACTTTGCATGTTCTTTTGTATCTTTGGGAGACAACATGATATTTATAAAGGTGAGTGATTCATGTCCCTGATGAGTACGGTCTCCAGCTGCCTCTACTTACCAATAAAAGCCTCAGGTTATCCTTTTTCATAGCTGACTAGTACTCCACGGTATAAAAAAATCCACGTCTTTTTTATCCATTCCGTGCTTGATGGGCACTCAGGCTGCTTCCAAGATGTCACGCTGTGACTGTTTGACTGTTTGATCCTGTTTAAGTCCAGATCTTGTAACCTGATCAACTACTTCTAAGGTAACAATATGCAGTATATTAACTAGGACTAATTTCCTACAATTTTTACAAATTCTGTGTGATTCTATCCTCGTTTTGTTTTGTTTTTTAAAGTTAAATGTTTTTTTTTTTAAAGCAGTATTCCTTAATCAACCCGGGTCCTTCGGGATTGTACCCCTAGCGAATGGCCAGTGGAAACGTCCTTGCAGAAACGGCGTGGACACTGAACGGACCTGCCAGGCGCTCACCACCTCTCTCCTGCAGGCCGGAATCAATCGCAAAAGCTTTAGCTGCGCCGTCCTGGCCGCCTCTGTGTCCCGAATGGACCCGAAACCCTGACCTTTCCCGGTCACTGTGACCTTGGGGAGCAGCCGGGGGTCGCTCGGGGCCAGCTCCGGGGACCGAGGTGCACGGGGACCCGGTGTCAGGTGTTTACAGCTGCCTTTCAGCTGGATGGCGCTCGGCAGCGGCCGTCACCGGGTTTCTGATCCCAGCTGGCAAAGCCCCTGAGGACCGAGGACCAGAGCTGCTGGGCGAGCGGCCGGGACCCCGGAGGAGCCTGTCTGCAGTGGGCGCGGCGGGTCACGGTTGTCGGATGCTAAATAACAGAAACATATTTTACTGCATTTCAACACTCGGCATACGCTGGGATCACTGATTGAATATAAAGAACGACCTCGGGGCCCCCGCGGCACCCCGATTCCTGGGCACAGCTCCGCGGACTCTGGGGACTCCGGGAGGATTTTAGGCCCCGGCTCGCACGCCGCCTGTGCCCACTTTTTTGCTAAGTCTTCGCCCAGGAAAGAAATAATCAAAAAGTGAGCCCGGAATAGCTCCTCTGGCCCGGATGAAAACCTTAATCTTGGGAGCCGTCTTCCTGCTTTCCGGCCAGGTGCGGTAATCTGCGCTCGGTGTCTCGGGGAGACGGAACGTGAATCCGGGTTTAAAGAATCCAGAGCAGCGCAAATCCTCTTAGGGGCGCTCGGCACGCCGCAGCCCGCAGACTCACACCCTCCTGTGACTTACAGACCTCAGAGGTCTCCGCGGACGCCGCCTCCTGCTCCAGGAGGGTCAAGGGGGGCTCCGGGGCCGCGTCCAAGCTGGCCTGGGCCACCGGTCACATGGACACGGACAGCAGCAGGTAGCCCAGGAGCCCGTGAATCCACTGAGGCTCCGGGTGGTGGGTGGATTCGTCCCGGTCAGGCTGCAAAGCCAGTTCCTGACGCCTCACCAGGGAGATGAGTCTCAAAGGCCATGAAGCGTGCTGGGAATGGAGGCACACGGCTCCCCGCAGACCCGCAAGGCAGAGTCTCCCCCAAACTCTCTCTCTCGCCAGCGAGTCCGCGACCAGCAAAACAGACGGATCCATCTTACGAGAGGTGCACTAAAGAGTCCCGGCAGTCAGGAGGCTGAGGCAGGAAGACGGCGAGTGCCTGCCCAGCCTGGAGCACACGAGAGATCCAGGCTCCATAAAACCCCCTTTAAGCTGTGTTCTGGTGCCCGGCTCCTCCCTTCTGTCTCTGCTTCCCGGCCACCATGATGGGAGCGTCTTGCCTACCCCAGTGTAAGTGACCACTACTGCTGCACAGGTCAGGATGGGAGGTCCTCCAAAACCACAGCCCAGGAGCAGGAACAACATGAGTGCTCCTCGACGGACACACAGACAGAGATCACACATTCCGTGGGCCTGCTGGAATACTACGCGGCCCTGAAAAGGACATCTGTCCCACCATTTGCACCATTTACCAGGGTAAAAGTGGGGGCGTCACACTGAATAAAATCAGGCAGTCACAGGGTGACAAAGCCCGCGTGTTCCCTCCCACACAAAGAGTGATTTCATAGAAACCAGGCAAAAATTGGGAGGCTGAGGCAGGAGGAGGCAAGTTCCAGGCCAGCCCGCGCACAGTCAGGAGACCAAGCGCTAAATAAAATCAGAAGGGCGTGGGGTGCAGCTCAGTGGTACAGGGCATGCTCTGCGTGCACAAAGCCCTGGGTTTCATCTGTGGCACAGCATAATCCTAGTCATGCTGATAATAACCCCGTCATTTGCAAGAACACAGATGCAGATGGGTGAGTCCTGCGTGGCTTCACTCAGGCCTGGAATCTAAACACTTTGACTGCAAAGAACCAGAAGGCAGAGCAGTGAGAGGGGATTGGAACGTGCCAGCCTCCTGCCTCAGCCTCCCAGGTAGCTGGGGTTACAAAGGCATTTGACTCCGACTGTGTCTTTTTTAGGGTCAAATAATATTCCACAAGGCATGACCAACGCACCCTGTTTATCCGCTCACCGGGTGGGTGACACTGCGCAGAGGAAGGGAGCAGGGCAGGGAGGGCTGGAGGGAGGAACGGAAAGGCGGAAGGAGGGGAAGCAATCATCATCAATTAGAAGATGAAAATGCCCAGCGCTCGGGAGGCTGAGACGGGAGGATCTCTGTGAGCCCCTCCGAGCCCCCCTGCACAAACGCCTGATGAGGCTGGGACTCAGCTGCAAACCGCCAGGCTCGCTATCGGAACGTGCAGACCACAAAGGCCCAGAGAATCCACGCACAAAATCCGAGACGCATCGCCCCGTGGCACCGCACCCGGCCGGAACCAGAATCACCCCACGTTACCATGGGCGTTCGGCGTTTCCTCCTGGATCCCGCGCACCGCTTCCCGGCCTCGGTCGCTGTTATTTCCAGCTAAAAAGAAAAAGATGCAGAGTGAGGTGCTCGGGAAGCGGCCGGAAGACAATCACAACGATGATAATCACTGTGGCCGGGCGAGGTGGTGCACGCCGCCGACCCAGCCCTGACTCGGGAGGCTGAGGCAGGAGGAGCCCTGCAAGGTCCAGGCCGGCCTGGGGCAGCTGCTGCGAGCCGGCAGCCTGGGGAGCCACCAGGACAGCTGGCCAGGGGCCGTGCACCCGACCTGGGGGAGCCCCGACTTTCCTGAGGTGTCGATGGAGCAATATAGACTGGGAGGGTTTCAAGCTGAAGCGCATCTTCAGGAAAAAACAACCGCACGAAACTACGTGCATCACACTCAGCTCTCTGCACGTGCTGCTACAGGGGATGGTGGGTCTGAGGGGCGGGGCCAAGAGGAGGAAGTGACGTATAGAGGCGGGGCTAGGACAGCTCAGCCTATGGTGCTACCGGGAGATGGAGGGCTTGAGGGGGCGGGGCAAGAGGAGGAAGTGACATCATGGAAGCGGGCTTAGGCAGCTCAGACCATGGTGCTACGGGGAGATGGAGGGTCCAAAAGGGGGTGGGAGAAAGAGGAAGTGACGTCACAGAGGCGTGGCTTGGACAGTCAGCTCTCAGATGGTGGGTCCATGAGGGGCGGGGCCAAGAGAAAGTGACGTCATGGAGGCGTGGCTTAGAAGGGCTATGGAAGCCCACTTTCCTCTTCTTTCTCTATTTGTTCTTCTGGGCCACCATGATGTGAGTGTCTTCCCTCCTCTACACCAGTCCACCACGATGCTCCTGACTTGGAGCCAGACAGAGGGATAGTGGGCCCACGAGACGCGGGGCCAAGAGGGAGTGACGTCACAGGGGCGTGGCTTGGACAGCTCAGCCTATAGTGCTACAGGGAGGGAGGCTCCAAAGGGGCGGGGCCAAGAAGAGGAAGTGACTAAGCCAACCAGTCGCAAGCTCTGCGCCCCTGAATCAAAATAAACTTTTTTTTCATCTAAGTCTTTCTGAGCGACAGAAAGCTGGTAGGCACAACGACCCAGCCACTGCCATATTTCTGTTTAACGCTAAGGCCTTTCCAGTAAAATGGGGCAGAGGTGAGGTGTGGAGGGAAGGATGCTGCGGGAAACACCTCAGGCCCCAGCTGGGGACAGGCGAGGGCCACGTGGGGCGCAGTTCCTGCAGGGCGTCACTTCCTCGCCTGACTTCCTCACCGCATCAGGGCGCTGAGCTGAGCTTCCTGGATTTCGGGCTTTGAGAAGTGTTGGGCGCGGGAAAAGCCACACAGGAGGAGGACAGAGCACGGGGTCGGTGGGCGCCACAGTTCTCCCAGTGCCCACTACTGTGGACCCAGGAGCGAGCCGAGAACCGTCAGCACAGGAGCCCGTAAAGACAATGCATTACGTAGACATGGTGGAGTATTACACAGCCAGAAAAAAGGGAAATAAGGCAGTTACTGGAAAATACTTTACACAAACATTTTGTTGTTTTGAGACAGGATCTCACTGGGTACCCCAGGCTGGCCTTGAGCGTGCAGAGATCCGCCTGCCTCAGCCCCTCGGGCCCTGGGATGACAGGCGTGCGCCCCACACCCGGCTGTGTTCCCAAATCCTGCGGTTTGCACCCCTGAGCGAGATTATAAAGATCAGAAAGCAGCCATCCCTTCCCCTCTACTTAAAAAAGTAGTTTGAGTCCACAGCAGGGTCCCCAAAGGGCGGCCCTCAGACCCAAGCTGGCATAGGGGCGCCCAGGCCATCCCAGCACTGCGGGAGGCTGAGGCAGGAGGGCTGCAGGCTCCAGCCCCGCCCGGGCGACTTGCTGAGCCTGCAAGACCCTGTGTCAAAATTAAAAAACAGTAAAAGTCAAAGATACCGGCGCTCGGCGCTGGAGCCCCAGGTTCGATCCCAACCACCACGTAAACTGAGCAGAGACCCGGGCGCCAGGCGCGGGGAGACTCACCTATGACCACGCGCATGCCGAGCCCGGCCAGCTGCTTGGCCGTGGAGTAGCCGATGCCATCCGTCCCGCCGGTCACCACGGCCACGCGGTCCGGTTGTCGGCAGAAAGCTACGGCAGGGAGAAGGGAAGGATCAGGACGCAGGTCTGGTGTTCATGTGTGCCGTGGGCCGGTCTCGGTTACAGGGCCGGGCTGGGACCGGCTCCTCCCCACGGAGCTCCGTCCCGGTTTGGTTTCTCCGGACAATTCTTGCTCTGTGTGCTGCCCGGCGTGAGGTCCGACGTGCAACCCTCCTGCCTCAGCCTCCCCGAGAGCTGGCATCACGGGCGTGGCCACCAGACCTAACTTTCTAATTTCTTTTCCGAGCTCACTTTTTAAAGGTAAATGCATTTGTTCAAATGCTGATTGCACACACAGGGCCCCAAAGCAAACTTCCTCATCCAAAGAGCACAGTAAAACCTCTCCGCTTTGACCGTGCCTGACTTTTTAAAATATAAATGTTGCTTTAAATGCAAGTGCTCCCTTTCGATCCCCCCGAGAGACCCTCAACTCTGTTTCCCTCCAGAGCCGGAGGGATTGACTAAAGATAAAACGTGACCCCGGGCGGGGAAATCCTGCCTGCCCCGCCTTGGACTCCTGGAGATCCTCCTGCCTCAGCCTCGCGGATGACAGGCGCGTGCCCTGACACCTCGCTTGGATTTTCCTAACAAGGTCTTGCTGTCTCTGCACGGGATGCACCAACAAGGCGGGAAAAAGTGCATAAGTCAGCACAGCACACGTCAGGTTCTGAGGACCAGCGCTGTCACTCGGAGGCGGAGGACTCCTCTATAGTCTGCAAAGCCCTGGGCGGAAAAAAGCCCAGCCCCAAGCAAGGTCCTAGCAGTCAGAGGTCCTGGACGTGTTTGGTGAACGGTTTCCCTTCAGCCGGGCGTGGAGGTGCACACCCGTGACCCCAGTACTCGGGAGGCTGAGGCAGGAGGATCTCTGGGTGTTCGAGCCCCGCTTGGGCTACCCAGCCAGACCCCGTCTCAAAAAAGCCAACAAACCTGGACACCCTGAGGGAGACTCTGTCTGAAATCGTGACAGGAGGCCTGCGGTTGGGGCTCTACAGGAAGGCAGATTATTTTGGGGTCCTTTTCTGAGATGGCGTCTCGATACCGAGTGCAGGCTCCTGTTGAATCACGGTGCAGACAGGTCGGCCTCGAGCTAGTGGAGAGCCTCCCGCCTCAGCCTCCCCGGGGCTGAAGGATGCAATGGGCACACTCGGGACTCCTCCGCTGGAACAAAACTCAGCAGGAGAAACTGTGTCACGGACCCGAGAGGCAGCCACGGGACAGACCCCGGATGGGGGCAGAGGTCGTAACAGTGGGTCATTTACTGTAGTCATTTTGTTTTTAAATTTCGGCATTGACCGAGAATTCTGATGACACCTTGGGGAACACATCAGCGAGGGTTTGGGTCACCAGGGGAGGCAAAACGGGGCTTGGTCACTTTGGAAAAGACTCCAGCAGGTTACACAGACTCACACCCGACCCCACACCACGGAAAAACCCCACAGTGAAGTAAAAACGTGACTTTAACTCAGAGCTGAACGCACAGGCTCAGCACAACGTCATCGGTGACAACTGAAAATGTGGAATACTATACACCCATAAAAAAGGAATTACAGTACCAGAGTAGGACTTTGTAGCACAATGCCAGCACTCGGGGTGTCTCTCCGTGGCAGAGCACTTTCCCAGCAAGTCCCAAACACCAGGTTCACTTTCCAGCACCACGAAATGAACATAGAAACACCAAAGAAGTACCGAGCGCTGGCTTGTTTTGTTATACGGGTGGTGCTGACGGCCGTGATACCCTGAAAGCCACCAATCAGTGCACCAAAGACCACCAATCACACAATTTATCTAAAACACCCAGAAAGGCGGACGCACGGAGGAAAGAACCAGACGTGCGGGTGACAACAGCGGGGCTTTCCTGCCCACACCGTCCACCACGATGCTCCTGCGCGTGGCTCTCAGGAGGGTTTGAGCTCCCCGGACACTGTAACGCAGCAGGAAATTAACACATAAAGCTGGGGTGGCTGAGGGGGCCCGTTCAGACCAACATCTGCACACCTGTATTCACCAAAGTCAGTAGTCAGAACCGACCTCCGTGTCCATCCGTGACGTGGATCACAGCAATGTGGTGTGCGGCTAGCGTGGAGTACTACGCAGCCCTTAAAAAGCCAGAGCCCTGTCCTTTGAGGAAGACACCTGCCGGGCGATGTGTCTGCCCCTGATCAAGTGGATTCTGCCACAAAGCCGCCTGGCGTGGTGGGCTCTCACCACACGCACAGAAGAGGGGCTGAGATCACACTCAGGAATCCCTAGATGGCAAGGCGGGACCCAGGGTGTGTAAAGTGCATCAGGGTGGGCGATCACTAACGGAGCCTCCTGATTGGTTCAGCAGGGTTCTGGAGGTGGATGGCACCGACCAATCAGCTTACAGCCTGGTCCAATGCCAACACTGAAGCCCCTTGGTGGTCTGTGTGGCACGGACCTTTCTACGAATGTTCACGGTCATTGATGCGTAAAAGAAGGGTTGCTGCCAGGCGCAGTGGCGCACACCTGTCACTGCAGCGCCCGGGAGGCCGAGGCAGGAGGATGGCGGTGAGTTCTGGGCTCCACAAGGAGAACAAGTCTCAAAAAAACAAGGAAAACCTGTTAGGTGTACAAGCCGCACGACGGAGTACTATGCAGGCAGGAAGAAGGGGTTAACGGTGTTTGAACAAAAAGCAGGCGCACCTGGGAAACAACATTGGCGAAATAAATCGGCCACAATAAATCAGACCACACGCCTGAATACGGCAGGGTTTTTCTTATTCGACTGAGGCGATGTATAAATGACAGCCACACACAGGACGGACACAAGGACACGGAGACACGGGTCTTTTGCCAAAGGGAAAAGGGTCAGAGATGCGGGGGAGGGACGCGGAGAGTCAGACTCGTGTTGCCCACACCGGGACTCCTGCGGGTGTGCACCCCGCTCTCCCGTCTCTGGCTGTTACAGGCGCTTTGCACAGTGTCCCCGCCAGCCCCGAAGAGGAGCCGGGAGCAGTTGGTTTCAGTCTTGGGATTTTACTTTCTTTATTTTGGGGTGCTGGGGGGAGCCCCGAGCCTCTGCACTGAGCTCCGCACCCTTTACGACCGGCCTTAGAGGCAGGACCTGCGTGCGCACCCTCCTGCCTCAGCCTCCCCGAGCGTGGGGCCAACCAGCTTGGGGCGCCCGGCGAGCCCTCAGGCTGCTGCACGGGATGGAAGGGGGCAGGCCTGCGGGCAGCGGTGCGGCCGGGCAAGGTTAGAGCAGAAGACCGGGCACCTGCCCTCCGGGAGGTGTGCACGGGGCCACCACACACGTGTGTGTCCACGTACCTGTGTGTGCGCTACTACGGATGACACGGATCGACGTGTACACAGAGTCACACGTGTACACACGGAGCTGTACACAAATGCCCAGGATACAGCACTGACAAATAGGTGTTTGTGCAAATGCACACCCACACAGGCTGTGAAAAACTTGTGAGATGTGTACCACACACACGTGTGCACACTCACACCCACACACGTACGCGTGTGCGGCACTGGGAAGCACACACGTGAGCACACACATACTGTGACGTGTACTGTGACTGGGGTACACGCTTACACACCGTACATCTATGTATACATACATAGAATACAAGTATAGTGTTATAAGTAAGTTTAATAAGCTATATTTTAATATTTTAATAGAATACTATGGTAATTTATAAGTTACTATTGTAAGTTTAGTGATGAACTATTAGTTATATTATAATACTATTATATATATTATATACTATATACTATATATATATATACTACATATATATGGTATACACTATATATAATAGTATATATTATAATATATTATGATTGACTATATTACATTATGTATTATAATGTATACTGTATATTATATTTTATTATATTACAATAGAATACAACTATAGCAATACATAGGTTAGTACTGTAAGTTTAATAAAGTATATTTTAATAGACTACGGTAATATGTATTACTATTATAAGTTTAGTAATGAACTATTATATATAATACAATATTATCATTGACTATATTACATTATGTATTATAATGTATATAGTGTATTATATTATTATATTACAATAGAATACAACTATAGTAATACTTAACTTACTTAACTACCGTAAGTTTAATAAACTTACCGTAAGTTTAATAAACTATTTTAATACAATACTACAGTAATACATAAGTTACTATTATGAATTTAATAATAAACTATCATTTATATTATAATACAGTATTGTTAATATGATTGTATATTATATACGTAATATACATATTATGTGTAGTATATAGTATTATTATATTATATAATAGAAGGCAACTATAGTAATATATAAAATAGTATTGTAAGTTTAATAGTAAACTATGTTTTACTAGAATACAACTATAGTGATATATTACTGTAAGTTTAATAAACTATAATAAACTATTATAATAATACATTAATGTATTACATTATATATTGTAAGGCATGTTATATATATTATATTATAATAGAACACAACTATAGTAATACATAAGATAGTATTGTAAGTTTAATAATAAACTAGTATCATTCAATAGCACACAGCTACAGTGATCCATAAGCTCGTCTTATGCTAAGTTTAACGACGATGTATTTCTATTACTGATGCGTCCGCCTAGAGAAGAGGCGGGTCCGTCTTCTTTCTGGTGAGCTCTGCCTTTCGGCCATGGTCTCTGAGTGTGCCCCGACCGAGTGTGCCCCGAGTGTGCCCCGAGTGTGCCCCGGGTGTGCCCTGAGTGTGCCCCGGGTGTGCCCCGGGTGTGCCCGCGGTTCCCGAGTGTAACCCCAGGTGTCCCCCCGCTGAGGTCCGCGTGCACACCCCGCTGTGCAGACGCCGGGTCCGCGGCTGCTGCTGGGCTGAGCTGCTGGCCGGCCTGGCCACGTCCACCCAGGACCAGGGCGACGCTGCCCGTCACTGGTTGGGCGGGAGGAGCCCGAGCCCCACGCGGGGCGCTCCCGATGCTGACTGTGGTCACGCGGGCA